TAACCACACCTTTATCCACTGTGCCATGTGTCCTTGAGGACATATGGCACAGTTGAGCGTACAATGGCAGAAACGTTATGATAAATATGGTGACAAAAATGAGGACAATAGTCCGAATAATGTAAATAATGTACATAATACCTCATCACAGAAATATAGACAAAATTTAACTTAGTTATAATCTTACAATGATTCTTCTGTCATCCCTACATTAGCTTTTCCATTCAATATCATCCCCTCTCCTAGCAGTCAAACACTATAGAAGCTGTGAAGGGCCATGATCACTTATATCCAGAAGGGACATGACATTCATATTTTTCTGCTTATAAGATGTTCTGATGAAATAGACTCCCCACCCAACAAAGAAAATTTTGAAGCAAGAAAACGGATAAAAAGTCATTTTCCTTGTACTTAATAGCCCTCCCCACTATCTCCAATTTTACCCACTGAATAGTATATTTCAGCAGGAAACCTTGATTAATCATTTACCACAGACTAAGAAGTACCAAATTTATGGTAACTATTTAGAACGTAATAATTAGAAGAGAAATTAGAGGGCATGATACTACTGAAACCTAACCTTGTTACAACCTGAAATCCTTACTAATTGTGATGAAATCATCACAAGTCAGAATGGAGCCTTAATTTTAAATTCAAGACATGTAAACTTGGATACAGAAGTAAAGTTAGGCTTGAATTATGTTTAGGTTAAGAGGTATGATAGTGCTTACTGCAATGCTGAATCCTTATACTGTAGGAGGAATTTGTTTTTCCTGTCAATATCTGAGTATTGCAACTGCAGCAATGGTCTCTCTTAAAATGTTAATTTAATTTTAAAACACTGGACTTGTTTTACTTTCAAGGGATCTGAATCAGATCTAATATGAGTAGATATGTTCAGTTATCATCCAGTTCACATTTCTTCTTGGTCTTTTGTAAAGGAGTAGAGGTTTATCCCTTGTTTCCTGTTTTGGATTAGGTTTCCAGTTCCTTCTAAAATCTACTTCAACTCTATACTTCTAACATTGCCTAAAACTTTGAACTTTTATTATTTTTTTTTTTTTACATGTTTTTTCCTCAGTAATAATAGATAGGTTTGCCAATCTTCTGGTTCACATTCCCTGCCCACTCTTTTGTAAAGGAGTAGACGTTTATCCCTTGTTTTCGTTTAGGATTGGGTTTCCAATTCTTTTTAAAATCTTTAATCATTCATAGGGGTGACTGGTTATTCCATTACATCAAAAAAGAAAGTCTGTAAGAACTCATACATGCTAAGGAAAATTTAGTTGTAAAAACACAAACTTAAAAATATTTTATATTTAAACAATAATTTCTCACTTTTTCCTATCTTATAGGTTGATTCAAATACACAACAAAACATTGTCTCTTCCTTTGCACCTGCAAAATGTGCCATTGTATGCCAGGATTTTCTTTCAAAAGAACTACATTACTGTCTCTTTATAGAATTTGTCTGGACATGCCCTTGCTTTATGTCTCTTTCAACTGCAGTTGTAGCATGAAATGATTCCTTCATTGTTATTTTCTTTCCTTCCTATTCTTGAATTTGTCATAATCATTCTTTATTATATTATCATTTGAACTCGGGCAGTATTCCTCAATGTCCTGAAAAGTTCTAAGTCAGATTATCAAGTCTACAAACATTCCATCCTCAATAGCTTTCCAAATTATTGTAATTAGCAGCCAATCATTAGATGTCTCACCAGCATTTTTAGTGTTATAATGACCATTTCTGCCTGTGTTTGTGACACTCACATTCATGTCTTTCTGAAAAGAAGTCAGGTCAGCATAGGGCTAACCACACAAGGCTTTTCTTAGCCAGTGTAATCTCTTTCTTGTATATGATCTGCCATGACCCTTCAGGATGTGGGCAATCACAGCCCTGCACATCTTCTGTCTTTTGTTGTTCAGGACAATTCGCAATCATGACGATCTTGTAATATTTGAAAACCTCCTCTTTCATTGTCTGTGGCTTCTTCTCATTATCACAGACTTTTGTCATCCAGAAATTGGATTAATTTAATGTAGGCTTCTTCATTCTTTTCCTTGTCAGATGTGAGCATCTTTGGCTGGTTCATTCACAATGGTGTCTTTCAGCCCCCAACATACATAGGTGGCCTAAAACTTTATTTCTCCATACTTTGTAAGTGTTCAGAAAAACACAGTCTACTCCATCAGTTTTGTATATCCCTCCTGTGACTATAGATTGTTGGTTGAGCTATAATTAAGGGAGGACAGTTACATAGTCAGGCAATGATAACAAAGGATACATACAGCTGTAAGTCTCACTTGAAACTGTGAGTGAATGAGAATGGGAAGGTATATTTCTATTATTGTTCGTAGGTATTTATCTGTCTGTGTGCTTATATGAAATATGACACAAGATCATTTTTAAAGTGGGCTTTCCGTGTGTACATGGGATAAGTCCTAAAATTGCTCAAGCTTTTTTCAGTACTTGCTTCTGGAATACATTTCTACCAGGAATGGACCCTAACATTCCCCCTCTTAAAGCAACAAAAAAGAGGTTTTATATAATTTGGATGATTGACCGAATTGAGCTAACATCCTTATTAACTTGG